CCTTGGTATATACGAATTGGTCTATAAAACTTCGAACTTAATGTATGCTTTTGGATACCAGATCAAGGTTTTATCATAGATAAAACATACTCCCTTAGTAGATTTCTTATCCTTATGGAACAGCTGAAGACAATTTTATTGTTAGTTCTGTACGGTTTATGTAGAGGTCGTGTTTTGTTTACAATTTGTTTCCCGTTAATACAGTCATTTAAAACCTTGTTTAACGAAATAATACGATCTAATCATAAACAATATATTGTCCCCTAGTTATTTAACCAAACAGTAAAGCACAAATCAAGAAATTAACCCTAAAATAATATAAACAAAATTTCGTCGACACTAGCGCCCAGTGTGGCGTACATGAACTAGACACGAAAAACGTGCTTCAAAATTTACAATGGGATGAGAAGTCTAATGGTTTTATCAAACTAATTTCAATCGCTGATTGGCGGGATTTGAACAAGTACATGTAAGTTCGGTGTGCCTATTACAAGTCCAACCCAGTCTAACTAGTTTAGACTGTTTGGAAGATACTGGACAATATTGAGAACCTTGTACCATCTGTTTGTAAACAGCTGTTAAACTCGTTGTCTTCTCGAAACAGTTTGCCTGTGTCTGTTTGTTTCCCGATCGCTATTTGTGATTCGTGCCAGGGTTGCAGACATGTTGCCCGTGGACCTATCACACCTAGAAGTTCCTTTTTAATCCTTCATATGGACTTAAATACCGCCATTACGTTGTGAATGAATGAATGAAATAACGCAGTGAATGATGAATGTTGAATGAAAGAGAAAGATAAGTTGTGTTACCATAGACAAAAAGAATTAAATATAGACTGTCAGCCGTGCTGCGATTACCATGGTTACCATAGGTTCTGGCGCACACCGCTGGGGCGTAACTACATGGTGCTCCCAGCAGTGTGCGCCAGATCCTAGCACAGCTGACGGTCTATATTTAATTAGTTTTGTCTATGGTGTTCCTAAGGGATACAACAATTACACTGACCAAGAACAGCTGGGCCCAGTTTTGAACATTTAAACAGCTTTTAGCAGGATTGAACCCAGGATTGAACCAGCCAACCTCTTGATTACAAGGTGAGAACTATACTAACTCAGCTAAACAGAACACAAAATATCAACTGAATAAATTGCTTGGATGTTTCTAAGTCATTAAAGAAGTTTTAAACAAATTACGAGGCTTGGAAACTAATTCTAATCCAAATCCAACTAACTAGTTTATGGTTGGGGTCAAACAGTAGGCCTACGTACAAATAACAATATTATCCCAATCCCAGTCATAGATTAACATTGAGCAAGTTACACTAAACATAACCACAAGTAGCCATTTAGAACATTTAGAATGAGTTGATAATAGACATTTAGGTATGACTGGGATAGTGTATTAATATGCGTTCTCGGTTCATCTTCGATCCTAAAACCTAGTGATAACTTTTCTGTAGCTAGTTGTGATAAGAAATGTAAAATACATGAATAAATTAAGTAAAGACATCAATTTATCTTAGATAAAAAAAGTATAAAAGTCAAGAAACAAAATTCCAGACACGAGAACAGCTGCCACTATTGAAACATAAATCCAATCAGGCAGATGGAAATTCACTTAGTCTGCAGGTTTCCTGCGTTGGGGTATTTTTGTTATATTGTTACAAATAAGATTACACTAGACGTTGCAAAAAAATACTAATTACATTTGATTTAGAATATGAAAAACACTACTTTGTCATTTCGTATAGATGTATAGCTGACTACTGTATAGCTTATTGAATTCCTGGTTGAAAAAATGGCCTACTAATACTGTATGAAAATAAATACACCTGACGAAGAACCATTAAATTATTTTTCTTCAACAAAACATTGCAAAATAGAAAGTTTAAAAATAAATGATGATTTAAAATAAGCTTAATTTGAAGGAATAACATCAAGTCTTTAAAAACTGCCAATACAACTTTTAATGTTAGCCATAATCACAAGAACAAAATAATAATTCAATTAACTTACCTAGCTGATCAGTATGTTTACATAACAAATATAAACGAAGATGATTCATTTAAAAAGAGTTTGTAGTTTACATTGTACAAATTATCCTATTAGTAATAAATATTTGCCATCTTATCAAGGAGAACCTATCTCCCTCAATAAGGTAACGAATATTTCGAGTATGTCACAAAAAAAGCACAGCTAATAGACTTGTAAAATGTCTTTTTAATAAATAAAGCAGAACTGAACGTAATTATTAAATTTGTATCATAGTACTAATTTTAATGTGGTTAACTCATTTTTACCTTGTGACACTTTCCTTGAGGTACAACGAGGGACAAGGAAACATATTTATAGAAAATCATTGCTATAAAATAGACTATGTGTACTTAATGAGCTATATAAAATACGAGAAATATGCATAATTTATGTAGAATGTAAGCTATATTGGTTTTAAAACCGAAATTGAAACAAACATGATATACAGTACCTATACATTTTATTTACAGATTTGGAATTAAAAACCACCTAGAAAGTAGGTGCAATTTATATTTTATTTATACCTAATTTAGCTAAAAGTACTACCGTATGTTATTTATAATTTAGTTTGTTTGGTGTTACTAAAAATATTCAATACTGTAAAGAAAATATTATTAATTTTCTATTGAATTTCTCAATATAAGTTAGATTTAGAAGTTAAGCATAAGCAACACATCCCAGCCAAACGAGAGAAACAAAAATTATTATTTTTTTCTTGCAAACGATTTGAATTTCGAAAGGCTAGGATATAGGAGATTTAAGTTTGTTTATTTGGTGTACAGTAAATTAAAGATGAGGTTAACTACTTGATCATACAACCAAGTGAAATACACCCTAGCTCATAAATTAACTATCAGAATATATACGACGACGTTTAACTATTTTTTACGTTAAAAGATTACCATCTCTTCTAATAAGTATAGTCAAAATACTAAAATAAAATGACAAAATAAAAAAATCAGTTCATTCAGAAGAAGGAATGTGAATCCCCAAACTATGAATCTATATAAAAAATAAACTCCCTTATTATATTAACTTACTTATGTATTAGAAAATCTTTTAAAATGTTCGGGAAAGATGGAAGCTACATACTGTTATTTTATTAGAAACCAGGGAATTTCATTATTTTAAATTACTTAGAGTAGTCCATGTAGTTCTTCACATTATAGTGGAAAACGTATTTTATCACATCAACATATATCGAAATCGAAACATAAAATTGCCTTTAACTCCTCACTATGATAAAGTATAAGTTAATTGCCTACCTTTGACACAGAAAACTAAATTTATAAACAAAATACACATAAGTTTTAGCAACTGTTTTCAGAAACAAAGATGGATTGAAAAAAAAATGAAAATGGGGGTTTTCACAATTATTTTCTTTTCCAATGCAAATATTACATATATTCCGTATATCATAATGACAATAAGACTGCATCAAAACTAAGTGATTCACAGTATAACAGATTATCTATTAATTTCAGAACATTTATTACTTAACAAATGACTGTCTAGTCAAATCAATTAATCAGACTTTACTACCCACCTATTATTAAGAGGACACCAGGTTCAATTACAAAACAAAGCCAGTAGCTTTTTAATGTTTAAAACTTGACCCAGCTACCCTTTTTGTCGGGCTTTAAATAAATTTCACCAATAAGTTGCACGAAGTATAGCTTTCTGTACGTTCACATAGAATTCATGCTTATTTAAGACATGCAATATTATTTTGCAATATTATTCTTTCGTAATAAAATCATACATAAGTACCGGTAATGGTTATGGAATAATACGTGAACTAATTTTTAGTATTGTTTTTCTTTTTCATTTTTTATTCATAATAGGATTATTTAAATTATTTCATGTAATCTAAGGTGTCTGAAAAAAATCAATTTAAATGACCTACAATTAAACCCAAACTTTTATATTTTAAACAGAAACCAGTAAACTCTAATTTAGAATGTAGGTTTTTCCATTTCTCGGCAAAATAACTCGACAATTGATACTAAAGATAACATTGATAATATTTGTCACAGTTTTAGATGACCAAGCTTTTAACACACACACTGATAAAACCCGGAGCAAACCAGATATAACCAGCATTACTACTTTGTTAACTTCTATTCCTTTTTGTATCCTAGAATAGTTGATTTAGTATGAGGTATTCAATGTAAATGTAATCGTCACTACATTTATTAGGTAGGCTAGAAGGAAAATTTTAAAATCAAAATTTAAATTTATCTAAAAAATATATGAAGTTACTTCATTAAAGGACGTTTAGAAAAATTACATTAGAAAACTCAGTAAATACTCATTGCATTAATGATTTGACATAAAACATTAGTATAGAAAAAAGCACAGATTGAATTAAAAGCTTAACTAATGATTGTGATCCAAACTTCTCGTTTGAAAGAGGGCGAGTGTTAATTTCATTAATTAATTAATTTCATGGCACATTTACATTTAAGAAAATATTTCATTAGTACAAAGAGAGTTTTTCTAGCAAAATTCAAGCGGCTGGTAAAATTGTAAAATAATACCAAATTTTGGGATACTCTAAGCAAAGTTTCATGCGTTTTACTTAAACTGACCGACCACGATCTTACTACTAAATTTTGAACGCTATAAAAAGAATAGTGTTGGAAGTGTAGTTTATAAACTTTAAAAACATAAACGCATCCAATAGCTTAACTATTAAGTTGTATAGTTTCATATAGCGATTGTAAAAAACCTGTCTTATCGTTACCAATTTATTTAATACAACTTCTTAAACAAAAAAATTGTATTAGAGACATTTTTTTGAAAAAAGCAAGAAATTTTAAATTTAAAAATATAATACCCCACAATTTCACTCACAATGTACTCTTAAAACACCCTACACACCCTCGAAAATTAAACAAACTCGCAAACACATTATATATATAGTATCTTATATAATTATTTTTACTAAAAAAAAAGTTAACTTACCAAATAAAATAAATGGTAATCCAAGATAGAAGCACACACAACACTCGCACCAACTGATGTGCAAAGAAGGTACTGACGCATGCGTCACAGGATTTCTGGCCCCCTCTCCCCCCGCTGTAGCAACCCTTCGCTGGATATAGCCGGTACTCTACATCCTGGCGGGATGGGCTTAAATATTTGAATGCTTATAACTTGTTGAGTAATTAGTAATCATAATTAGTGATCATAATATTGAATTTTAACGATTGACATTTAAAAAAATGTATGCTTTCTTATAATGTATAACGTGTTTGTTTTATTTCTCTATATTTATTGGTACACAAAGTTAGAAAATGTTGGTGATATTTTATAGTTAAGAAAACTAAACTGTTTTTAAGAAACGAGTTCAAAAGCCTCAATATTTGTGTAGTTATTTCGGTATCGAGTCTATCCCTCCCGCATCGAAGTCCGAGATGCTAACTAGGCTGGTAGAATCAAAAAAAATAATTTAATATTCAAGCTTTTAATTTTTATTGGGGGTTTTTAAAAAATAATTTTACTCTTTATTTTTTCATCTCGATCGTAATTTCAAATTCAATAATTAATTATTATGTAATTTGAATTATCACGCTGTAGGTTTTTCTTACAGCTTTCTCTCTTTTCTAGACCTAAATTTATATTTTGTGAAACTATTGATTAGTCTAGCCTTCAATAATAAAATGAATTATTCATCAATTTATCATTAAACTGTAAATTGAATTGTATAAGAGGGCTAAAATGTTATATAGATCGCATAATGGTTTTACACTACCAATTGTGTACTTTTCTAACATCTTTCTATGTAACTACAGTAGTACTAATTGTTTATCAACATGATACACTTGTATTGGAGATAAAAGAGGATTGTGAATATTATGTTTTAAATATAAGAATATAACATAAAATAAAAAGGTTTAATATTTCACCCCGTCGCGTCGTCCTTATACGATTACTTGTATATTTTGTTTAAATCAAAAGGCATAAAGTAAACATACTTCTTAGTGGTTGTGTCGTCCTGATGAATCACATAAAAATATATATGTGGATATGTGGGGATATGTGTGTGGATATGTTTGTGTAATGTATTGTATAGTGTGTGGATATGTGGATCACACGCTCTGTGATGTGGATAGGCTTTGTCGTAGTCTATCTACCACATTTCTTACAATAGAATAAGATTTGAACCTGGTTTAACAAAATAAATTTTAGATACTAATCTCACTTATCTTATTGATCGTTAACCAAGAATTAAAAATAAAATTTAAGTACTCGTTATACATGGTGTTTAAAAAAGGTGGGGACATAATTTACGTAGTGATTCCTTGGGTCAAAATAATGAGAAAATCAAGAATAGCATTTTTTCAAAAAAAAACTTCGTAACTGCTATATTGTATTTTTTAAATAAACATTTAATCTTTGAATTTATTCTACGGATATTTTTGAAACTTGGTGTGTATGTTAACGAGTCCCATGTTTGAAAAAAGGCAATTGAAAAAAAGTCAATGGGGCAAACCAGACTATCTTATCCTTATTCTACCCAATATCACAACTAAAAATCTTAATATTTCAGCTGTTTCTTATTAAATCTTTTTGAATTTGGTACCGTTTGATAGGGAATAAAATATGCAAAATAAAAGTGTACTTGAATTTTTTTCCTAAAATCAGCTGTTTTTGTGTAATTTAAATTAAAAAATTTAAATGCCCACCATTTTGAAATTTTAAGTTTAATTTTTTTCAAACATGTGTCTCTTTTACAAACATACAAATTTTCATAAAGGTCAATCGAAAAAATTCAAAGATAAAAATATTTATGTAAAAATACAAAATGGTGGATATCTTTTTAACAAAGCGGTTTTGGAAAACAATTTATTCTAGTTTTTCTCTTTATTTTGACCCAAGGAATCACTCCGTAAATTATGTCCCCACCCTTTTTGAACACCCTGTATAATTTATCCCATGCCAAAGGAAAGCATGTGGCTAAAATCAACAGGCAATATATTAATCCCTTATCAAACCAAGCTTGATGTTTCAAGTGAATAATTATACATTATCTCTTGTAATATTACATACACAACATATCTTGTATTATCCAAAGACACTGGAAATATTTAACAAATTATTACCAAAGGGATTTGTTTCAACAATAAACAAATCTTTTTTATAAATCTATTTAAGGTATTTATTTATTTATAAGTAGTTCAGGACACCTTTTGCTTACGCTTGCATAATAGCAGTTACAGTAGTTACAGACTTGGGTAGCGCCTTGAATTGAGTGGAGCTACAAGTAACCGAGCATGATTGTTTGGATTTTGCCGTTCTAGATTTGCAGGCGTTTTTAAAACATCAAATTATAATGGTACCACCACGACTAAAAATTGCCTAGTTTTTTTGGACATTTCAGTAATAATCAATAATGATATATGTGTTTTAAATGTACACCTTATATGGCATCTATGGAGTACTTAGATTTGCAGTCTCAGGGAAGAAAAAATGAGAGTTTCTTTTAAATAAATGTTAATAGTATGGTTTTAAATTGTGTACTTGTCAAATGTGATTAAAATTTCTCCATAAACAAACTACAACAGTTTACCTTCTGTCCGTAAGAATAATATAAAAATTGTTTTTACAGTATTTTGGAATTGTCTACTTACTACGAAGCGTACAACAGCGCTTCGGTATACTAAATTATTTGAGTTTCAAGTTCTATAAAATGGTTTGGAAAGAAATCACAAAAGTTTGTGTCTTAAAACCACTTCCACCCTATAAAAAGTCTATTAAACCCCGTATCCATTATATTAGCTACATTACATTACATACATTACAATGTGCTGATACGCTGGTTCATGAACTCGTTCGAATAAACGTAGGTCACGTTTGTACAAAATTTCATACAAATCGGGCGATATTTTACTAAAATTATCGTGCTAACGTACACATATAAATTTGAACGGACGATGTTTTTGGATACATCAAAACGGAAAATTAAATCGGTCCCGGATCTATGTCTAACCATGAGAGCTACGGTATTAGCTTATTCCCTATACGGGATATTCGCTAAAAAGAATATCTTTCCTACTAACTTAAACCAGTTAATAACTAAAGACCATTGATAAAACGCAAACGTCCAACTTTGTTCATACTATTGGTACTGGACGTTACACTAGGAGGAAACCTTAAAGTCAAAAATTCCGCACCACAGTGTCATGTATTTTCTAGATGATGGAAACAGTCTACTGACCCAGGACTGGCCCGAGCCTTAAACCATTGGTCAGTCTCCAGATAGACGAAGGGTCCGGAGACAGGTTCCATCATACAGACTATAGCTTAGGAACAGAGTGTTTTGCTATGAAAATCTGCCATTTACCATTTTAACCTTTAGAAATATCATCCACCCTGAGAAAAAGCGATTGACCTATGTCTACTTCTTAAACGTTCCATTCACCTCTGATGAAGGTGCCAGGAAGATTTTTCTCTAAATAGCTTTAGGTTGGTAGATAAATAAATTTATAGTTAAATCCAGTTTCTACGTACGAGGAGGACTTCACAATGGTAGGTTGTGAAACTTCAAACTATATCCCCCGAGGAAGATAGTTGTTTAAGTATTACGTCCCGTTGTATGTACTACAAACAGCTGACCATGGTCAGGTGTGAACTCCGACCGTAGTGATCAGCGTTCCTTGTAGTCATAAGTACACAGAGTAGTTGTTCTAATTATTGGGATTATACTATATGATATGTACTACAACAATAGTTATAAGTAGTTTAGTTGAGAAGTGGAAGTCCTTTCATACTCCTTCTCTCCATTTAGGAATCAGGTAAAGCTACAATGGCAAAAACTGAATGCTAAAGAAGAGAGGTTGGCATTATTTTCTAGAAAATCGGAACACAGTTTTCAGCAAAACATTGAACCTGGGACAAGGAAGTTGTATGCAGATCTTTTGCATAAAAGGCACTTCCTAAAGATCAAAACAAAAGGATCTAAGGATTTGCAGTTTTCTTCCCGGTTCATACCTTGGCTTAATTTTTTTAGTGTATGTTTAGTGAGTGAGACATTTATCTAGATATCCATCTAACCTTACTTATGATTCAGAGCGAGGAAATGTAAAATTGGCCTGACTTTTATTTATTTAACAATGAAACTTAAGTTTTTGCATATAAGTTTTAGTTATTCTGGGGATTTAGTTATTGCCACCATAGTTAGCTTGATGAATTTATTTGTGTAAGTATGCCAAGGCAGTTCTGCCAGGATAGGCCTACTTCATCGAGCAAGATGGAGAAAGATTTGCATTTTACACACTAAACAACAGTAGGCGAACACTCCTGTGGTTCTCCATTGTTGAGGTGACAGAAAGTGCTCTTGAAAAATTACATTTTAAAATTTGGTTATCGTAGCATTGAACGGAGAAGCTGGTTAAGAAAAACACGTAAATATATAAACTACATGTGGGACCGTTTAGAGAACCCTACAGGGAAGATATTATAATAAAATCTTCAAACTAATATTTACATTGTGTATATTAAGATATTGACTTTACACCAGTAGTATGTTACGCATTATACAATAACTGCAAGTAATTGATTCAAAAATTATCAACACGTAGTTATAAAAGGATTATAACTTGTAGAGATATTTTTAAGAGATTTAGTTTTATCACAAAAAAAAAGATACTAAATATATTAATATTGAAACCCACAAACTCTATAAGGGGTCAATGTTAAATAGTTTTCATGACATTTTTAACAAATGAGGATCGAAGTTGTATCTCGATGCAAACAAAGCTCATACCTCACATGATTGCAAAGTGTTACTTACATAATTCATCACGGTGGTTTGTACAGTAAAATGGGACCTTATCCAATATATCAATTTGAGTTCATCATTTAAATATTTGAATGAGGTAAAGGAGTAAAACTATAATCCTAATCTCATCCCTTTGATTTATTTGTCTTTTTCCCATTTTATTTGTACGATTTAGCTATCCTAATGTCAGAGTTTGTCCAGTGGAAGAGGAAAAAAACAAAAATTTTGAGGAATGGACCAAAGGTTTTACTTTCTATACAATTTTCAGATTTTTTTATGAAAAAAATAATTATTATAGTAAAAAAATTAACATAATGGTTTGTTGCAACGTTGTTGTATTAATAGTCAAAGGTTGCAACTTAAAACACAAATTGTTTTAAGAACTGCTTCTCAAGTGGCAACTACTTTCCATCATGAATATTATATAGTTTTTTTTACAACTAAATCCTTCCAAAGATGTTGGTTTGAGGGAGGTTAGTTAAAGTTTTTGTACGTTACTAGCAGACTACTTTATATTGTTTAGATCAACTAAACGGAGGGATAATATACAAACAATGTCTGTGTGTTTTGAAAGATTTCAAAATGTCGTAAATTGTTTTGATATTTGTTTTACATTTTAAGTCCACGACTGTTCGAAAAATTGAACTTTATTTCATTAAAATTAACAAAAAATTCTAAAATAATAGAACGGATATGGGTAAAACCTAAACTCTATTTACTTAAAATATAACTTTATTAGACTATTATTTTTACAAATATAACTACTCTAATATTATGTCAATGGTGATGATAATTTACAATGAAAGTAGTCGAATGAATGAAAACAATCTTACTCTATAATTGACAGCTTTTAGACGCTTTTGCGCTTGACTTTAGTTTATGCAAAAACTATATATAAAAGTCACAAAATCTACTAAGCAGTCCTACAACTAAAAATTCACAACAATAAATAACATCAAAATGTGTCAATTTACATTCTTTGATAAAACTGAGGTTATAACAAGTTTATCGTAAACATTTTCACAAGTCAATGAACTGTCTCTGAAAATCTTCTAAATCCCACAAATGTATAATCACATTAGACATTACCACGTTTATAAACTTCACTTTTGGCAGTGTAAAGCCCTTTTTAAAAATTAAACCTTTAAAACAAAATTTAACTGATGTTTACAACATAATTACACAAACTAATTCAGAATAACACATTATCAGGGGCAATCGTAGTGAAAGTAATATAAACTTGGCAACGCTGTAGAAAACTTGGCAACACTGTAGAAGTTTGGCAACACTGCTCGGCGACAGCGATGCCAACTCTATCTGTTGTCGATGGGCGTAATCTTGGGATGAAGAAGACTTAGGTGCTGCAGTCTAGCGGAGGTTTCTGACTTGTCGAGTGTATACACAGATCAAGCAAGCCCGTCCTCGCTCTTACCGTCGAGTCTCTTCAGCTGTGGAAAAATATAAAGTTAACAACAAGTAAACAGTTGTTTTACAAGTTTAAAAAATTGGATGAATGTGCACTATGAGCAGGATATCTTCTGCTTAAGAATACACTACTTTATTGAGTGAAAAATATGGAATCATCCAAGGAAAACAGAGATCAAGTCGTAGGAATGAAGAAGTATGATAATGAGATTCATTAAATGACATGAAACGTTCCTTGGTCTTATGGTTCTTCTTGTAACATAAACGGTTCTTCTATGTCAGATGTGTCGATAGTTAAGGATTATGATCCTGGCTGGTTATAGTCAGTACAATGGAAACTTGTCTCATAACCTTCCGTTTACCTGAGATTAGCCTGGCTAGCTCCCAGGTAGACAGAAGGATTAGGATGAGACAGGTTCCATCATACATACTATAGTTTAAAAAACACAGAACTCCTCTCAACCCCATCAGAGGCTGCTTGTAAACTGCAAAGGCAATAAGTTACTTTGGATGGATGTAGCCAGTCAACATTTGTCTTCAGGATGCTAATAAAATAGCTTTCCTAACAACGGTAAATCAAGATCTTGACAATCCCACCATAAATACACAAAACACCTATATTCCTTACACAAAGTATTTACTTACAGATCAAGTTTAAATTTTTACAATGGTCCAAGATCACTCAAGATTGTATCATGGTCAATAACGACTCTTTAAGTAGCATACAGAATTATATGGATTGGTAAAAGACAAATAATTATGGACCGGTTTGATAATAATGATATTATACAGGCATAGCACAATTCATGAGTCAATTAAATCATCATTCGGCCCACAAGTAGCATAAGACAGTCTATCTGTTGGTTAAAGACTTTTGGATGCTGCTTAAAAAGAGTCAGTGTTCTTCAGCCTTGCTTTTCCCTTAGTACATTTCATACTGTATAATTATCGTATTTTCAAACAGTCAATTTATCCAAAAACCTTATATTTCCCGAACCCAAAGCAATGTGGACTGACACAAAACAATCAAAGCGATTATCTAACCTGTATTTTCACAAGGTCCACTATAGAACCCCTCAATTCAAGGAGGCTTGCTTTAAACTGATTTTGCTGAAACATTAATGTGAAATTTGGAATATTGTTTTCGTTTAGGTCAATAATGGGGCACTATGCGTGGCTACTGGACTCACATTTCATTCTGAACATTGTAATTTTATTTTGAATATAATTTTTTTTATTTGGGCAATCCAAATTTTGTTTTTGACACAACACGTTCATAAGACAACTAAAATGTGTTCTTTGATACTGTCTATGCTAAAATTTTAACTACAACAACAAAATGTGTACTGGATGTATTTGTTAGTAAAATATATAAACCTAAAACTAACATGCTAGACATTGATTAAAATGGAGTATGCATTGTTAGTTTTTTAAATTAATGCCTGCATAGCAACAATAAACCATGTATCAGTACGTGTATAGTGGAAGTATTTAAGTAATCTTATATAACACTCCTTTCTTTCAAAAAACAGTTTATATTATAAAGCTCACTAATATTATCCTCTTTAAAAACTTATAAAACTTATAAACTGATAAACATTTCTTTAGAAACTCTCTAGATTAAATACTTACATTGGTTGGTTCCCCTCTAAAAAGAACTTAACTGCTAGTTCTTGACACATTGATTGATTTACTAATTGATATACAGTAATAACTAATGTAAGAATCGATTGATTTTAAGTATTGAGCGAAAGATTAGTATATTATTCATCAAATAAGAAACTGATTAAATAATGGATTGAGTGATTGATTAATGCAGTGATTTGTTGATTTATTCATTAATTAATTAATTGAGTAATTACTTAAGGTATTGAATAATTTTAAAGTTATTTATTAATTGATTAATTTGGGTTGTTTAAATGATTAATGGACCAATTAGTTTAATAATGGATTGATTATTGGAATGAATTATGGATTTATGAAATAAATTATTGGATAATACATTATCGTTAAATTAATTAATTAATAGACCACCAAATTTATTATTGATTATTGATGATTCAGGGGTTATTGCCAACTCCGGCCATTGTATAGTCCATTACCCTCTCTAGTTACTGGAATGTACTCCTCGTAGTACCTCTTTCTCCTCGGCGTGGACGGCGGAGTACTCCTCATGGGGAGCCTGGAACACGTTGGTGTAGAGGAGACCAGCGGCGATACCTCCCATGATAGGACCTGCCCAGTACACCTGCAATGAGGAAAGTGTCAAACATTTCTATAGTCTTATTAAACTTGGTGTACCTTGTATCTTTTTGTATCTGAGCTGTGGGTTGGATCGTGGGAAAAATTAGGAACCTTTTGACGGTTAAAATAAACACATGTTGTGTTGGGGTTGGAAATCTAATATAATGTTTAATGAGCAACATGGAAGCTTTTTACCATGGGTCCTACATTATACCACACCTACTAAGTGTGGACATTATATGTAAGCTGGCTATGTTTTCATTTATATTACAAAAAGTTATTCAACATTAGTTTCTAACAATATTCAATATCAAATTAAGAAAGCTTGTTTTTTTTTAATAAATAACTGGGTATAGTTACGTATGTGATGTCAAAAATAACCAAATGAAAATATCGATTATTCGATATTTCGATTATTTCATTCGATATATCGTTTGGTTGGTTAGGTTAGGTTAACCTTACTAACCAAACGATATATCGAATGAAACAATCGACATATTGAATAATCGATATCTTGATCGATATTTTCATTCGGTACGTACCAACCAATACATTTTGTGTTTCTGTATTCGCTGTAAGGGAAATTAGAATTTCATAATTTTCCATAACACTGTTAAACACATGTTTTGTGAGTATTTATGCAACAAAAAATACACTTTAAGACTCTGCAAGATATTATTAAAAGATACTAGTTAGGATCTTTTACATTATACAATGGGCCTATACTTAATTAGTTAGCTTAATACATTTCAGAACAGTTTGTCTAGAAAAAGCAATTTCCTAGATACTATTCCAAAAATAAGATTAAAACTATTCAAACCAGATTTTTGTGTCTACTCTTTTTATGTGTTTGGAACATATAAAAATACACTGAATTATGAATTATGTTAAGTTTGGAACATACCGTTATAACATAATTATACTGTATATGCCAAACAACATTGGTCTCTGTGTTTAATTAAACTTGAATCCGTGCCATTGAATCCCATCGTTTCTAGAAATAATCGTATTTGTATCCCGTGTCTAAAGCATGAAACAGAATGGATCAACCACACCTACATTGTGAGTTTATATACATTGGAACTTTTAAAATTAATGTAGATTCTAAAAATGTAACATAAACCTCTCTATTTCCACTCCCTAACTTACCCAGTGGTTGTCCCATCCAGAGGAAACGACAGCTGATCCAAAGCTACGAGCGGGGTTCATGCTAGAGCCAGTGTAGTCAACCTACAATCAATAATTATAAAATATTAAAAATAGTATATAAAAGGTTTAAATTTTACTGGTTACATATCTAGCATCAATATAACCAAAATAGCTACAACTCCTAATAAGATATGATAGAACAAAAGGTTAATTCTTCTAAAATTTCATATTAGACGTGGACAACAATGGACAACGTTCTATGTTCGCGAGGACACATTGTTGTGCTACAAGTTCCTTGGTTCGCCACTAGAGCGCTAGCAGTTAACGATTATTGCATACTACCGCTCGAGCGGCAGAAGTTTCAACTACTCAATCTACTTTACCGACATTCCATTTCACTTACACACATAATTTTATTGATTCATGTTTTAAATTAATCTAATGTGTATTCTAGAACAATAAAATAAAAATATTTCAGTGAACAAATATTTCCAAAACGTATCTACGTTAAAATGCAACTATTCTTACTGCTTGCTCTTATCTTTCCATTATTAAACAGAATTACATTGTGGTTCATCCGTGAAATATGTTTAGGTTTGAAAAACAACCTAAATCGTTTATAAAGAGGGTATCATAAAACATAGTTACAAATTCAATTTCGTCGTTTAAATTGAATTGACCGGTATTAAAATAATTAAAAAGTTGCCCTAGTTTACATCGAAAGTGGTTAACACAAATTGTTCACAAGTATGCAATGAAAATAAACTTCCTGGACCACAAGTTATCTTATGATTACAGTTCCATTTTGGTTTCGAAACTTTAATTTTAGCGAATTTCCCATATAGGGAATAAGCTATTACCGTAGGTCTCATGGTAAGACCTTGACCCGGGACCGATTTACTTTTTCGTTTTGAGGTCCCCAGAGGCCAAAAACACCATCCGTTCAAATTCATATATATATATATATTTATATATATATATATATATTTATTTATATATGTGTCCGTTAGCGCGATAACTCGAGCAAAATTGACCCGATTTCGATGAAATTTGGTACAAACGTGTAAACCTACATTTATTCGAACGAGTTCGCGAACCAGCATAATCGGACCATGGGATCAGGGGGGTTTTATGGGGGGTTTTATGGGGTAAAAATGGGTTTTTCTCATTTTTGCCCCTAAAAACTTTAAATTTCTAAATTACTCTCTAGACCATTTTGAAGAGCTTAAAAAAACAAATAATTTAGTATATTGAAGTTTTTTAGAATGTTCATTGACTACGGAGAAAATTCAAAAAATTGTAAATTTAAAATTCCCATGTTATTCTTATGGAGAATAAATAAACTGTTCTAGTTTGCTTGTTTATGGATATATTTTAAGTAATCAAATTTGGCAATTTGGCTTATTTCATACTAAGCTATCAATATTTCAATTGAAAAAACACATCTCAACATCTTCCCCGTAGCAGCAAACCTAACTACTCACTAAAATTAATGTCATTTAAATAGGATATAAATCTGTAAATTTTTAGGGAATATTTTAGTAGAAATCAAGCCGGGTAAATGGAAATTCGCTTAGTATGCAGGTTTGCTGCAACGGGGGTATTTTTTTCTGCACCAGCACATGTGGTGCAAAAATGACAAAAGCCACAATAAAGTCAAAACTTCCTACTGAATTAATTTTGCATAGACCTTAACTACTGTAACAATTATAATCCTTTATATGGTTTACGACATAAGCTACAAACTATGTATGCTACATGTTCAAATTGTCCTTGAACTCCATTTTTTCAAAATATTCTAACAAAAATGTTCTGTAAAAAAATGACGAGTTCTACATCTTAATCCCTATGTCAGTTACCCAGACAAAGAAAGTGACCCAAAAATGAATTGTTCAAATACTTCAACCCCTTACAAAACGTTCTTAAAAAGTTTCCGTAAAATTTCAAGTTCTTAGATCTGAGAATGTCAAGTACTCACACAAGCCAAGTGACCCAGAGTAACAGTTAGCCCAATGACAAGGGCGGCTGGGGTCTTGTCGTTAGCCTTGTTGGGGTCAATGACTCCGTAGACGACGACCACCAGGACGAACCCAAGGAAGAACTCGATGCCGAGGCCCTGAGTGACGGTCATGTCAGCTTGGAGACCAGTGTTGCCCAGGGAAGCTTGGTAGGCATCTGGAGTCAGCGCCTGGAAGAGGAGAAAATTATCTGTTGGGTTTAGAAGAAGGGGTGGTGCGTTCTTGGATGTGTAGAAGTGGAAATGGTTAGATATGAAAGAGGGATTGATTTGTTCTTGGATATGTGGAGAAAATGATTGATTGTTGGAGTGGATTTGGGGATGGTCTGTTGTTGGATGTATAAATGAAGAAAAGGTTATTTGTTGGAGTGGATGAGGTAATGGTCTGTTCTTGGATACAGAAGAGAGAATGGCCTGTCCGTTGTAGGAAAAAAGTTGTGAAATGAAAAAAAGAAACGGTTGGTTGTTTGATTGGATGAGGTAATGGTCTGTTGTTGGAAATATTACAAGAAAAGATCAGTTGTTGGATGTATAAGAAGAAAAGGTCAGTGGATGTGTCTAAGAGGAAATGACCAGTTTCTGGACGTATATAAAAGGAAATGTTGAGTTTTTGGATGTAAAGAAGAGGAAATGATCAGCTGTTGGAAGAATAGAAGAAGAATTGGTCAGTAGTTGGACGTATAGAAGATTAAAATGTTTTTTCTTGGATGCATAGAAGCGGAAATAGCTAGGTTTTGAACGTTGAAGAGGAATCAGTCTGATTTTGGACGGGATACAATAATGTTGGCGTTTAAATAAAGCAATACTTAAGACTTTTTTCAAGTGTGTTGGGGCTTTAGATTTATAAATCCGACTAATCTCATAAGATAGATAATCCATATTTCAAGATAGCAGTTGAAACCGAAGAAATCATAAATATTCCACAAATTAAAACTAGGCTCACCACTATTTACCAACATCAATAATGCCGTGGAAATCGATAGATTGACAAGATATCGGATGATTCTACCGATTTATTTATAGCAAAAATGACTCATCTTTGAATGTTTCTCACAGTTCTCGAAAGGTGAAGTAACACTCATTAAGTGTCCTACTTGCATTTTATCTTGCTCGTGCAATCTTCAAGGACAAAAGTGACTTTTTCTATTTACGTAAACAACTTCCTTCGTCTTTACTTTGTTTTTACTGCTTTATCTGGATTGTCGTCTTGGACGTCGTTATATAAAAACAGTTCTTCATACTGAAGATGTGTTTAAAATAATATTGTTATGTGGCTGCATTATACGAAGCATGCACTGAACATTTCAATTGTGGTATGCAGTTTATGCTGCGTGGGATGGAATTGATTGGCATCAATTAATGCTTAATCAGGCAGAACATTCAAGATTAATGGCATCTTGTACCACAACCAGTACTCAAGTATAATTGGAAATTATATGTTGTCAAACAGTTGTTTATGTTTGTAAACAAAGTTAAACTGACTTTGCATGTATGAGGGATATACATGACATTGCATTTAGAAGTGGGTTAACTAATGCCTAACAAACTTATTTTGTCTATTCTAATACATTGAATCAATTGGCAAACCTATTAGGCTTTAACACACCTGAAATAGGTGAGTTTGATTATTTTTTTTATTTATCAGGGATATAACTTTTAAATACCGATTATGTAAAATGTGAGAAGAGGTGAACGGATTGACCAAAGTCTCTTTTTGATATTCACCATTCTTGATCAGCTGAATACAATTCAAGCATTTGTTTCTGGGCTACATGTTCTCTGTGGTACCTCATCTTTCTAACATGATACATTCTTAATCTTGTTTCCACTTGTTATTTAATCCATAGTCAATCACTTTACCTACCTTAACAACCGCAGACCCTGCTACCGCTCCGATGCACTGGGCGACGACGTACAGAAGTCCTCTGATGATGGACACCCTTCCTCCAGCAATCAGACCGAAGGTGACCGCGGGGTTGATGTGGCATCCACTCACATGGCCGATCGTCTGGAACATCAGGGATACATGAGGAAGTGGTAGGCTGCATGGCCAAACTTATACATGAAATGAAGCTGTGATAGGTTGCATGATAAAATTTGCAATATGTGCAAGGGGTCGAGTAGCAACGGTCGGGAACATCAGGGATACATGAGGAAACGCGTTGGGCTGCATGCTTATATTATTTGTATTTATGTTAAATACAAAAAGTTGTCATTTGTTTATCTGGGCCCAGATTGTGTTTTAAATCACAAAAAACGTGGTATATTCTCACTTTTTATACCTTTTGGTGGTACCATTTATACAGATTATTATTTATTGCAGTGGAATCTTCAAACTAAAGAAATGGTCTTTAACAGAGCATCAATAGAAAGATTGTACTATTATCTATGGTTGACTTGCTCTTATCTCTTATTTATCAAGTAGTTGTACTTAGACATAAGGTGTAAATTCTTATGGTTATTCCCTTATCGTCACTACTAATAAGAAATAAAAAAAAAACAAAATGGTAAATTGTGTTTTTTGTCTAACAAAATAAAATACCCAATAATCTACGATTTAAAGAATACTTTAGTCTGATTATAAAACCATTTTATTAACGAGTACTTTATTCCACTTATTTTAAACATGACTGACAGTTTGAATTAACCAAGAGCACAAGGAAAGAAAGTTTCTAATTCGTTCTACAGATAAGTGAAACTTTCAATTGTTTACTAACAATGTCTTAGTAAAACCGCTATCAGTAGATAATAGGGGTTCACAATCAAAGCAAATTAAAGAAAAGCTTGAAATTAACCAACGGTGTTTTAACAATGGGTTAGATAATAGTGTAGGTCAATGAACTGCTCCTGGTTTTTGAGGTTGAGGTTACACCTGAATCCCACAACCTTGAGCTCGAATTCGAGCCATATCGATGTAAACAGGTTAGTTTTCGCTTTGAACACTGTGAGTTACTGAAATGCGCTTTTTGTAGTAGGTTACTGAACCAGTCAATGTTCTACCTACTGACACAATAAGGATAATTTTCGATTTGAAATCGAGTTGATTTAGGAAAAAATCATTTTTATTGTGCAATTCTTTTTTTAAACTGTTTATGAAAATGCAAACTAGCCTATATCTAAAATTTGAGAAACTAAAGTTTTTGTTTTTTATCTAATTTTTTTTTTTTTAGATATGCTTACAACCAAACCTGTTAGTGAAAGCCATTCCCATTGACTATACTGTATATACTATTCTGCGTATTTATAATCGAGTATAATCAAATTATGTGTATTTATAAGTAAGGTTCGTAAAAATATTTCCTACCAGTTAATAACAACTAAATGACACAATTTATTTAATTCGATTTTTTCTATAGACATTATTTTTGTATTTTTCGGAGCTTAAAAAGTTAGATACAGATTTGTTGTATGTTTTCATGCCTAAAGCGTTAAAAAGGTCATCTTAAATTATCGTATGATCAGCTTAACATTGTGACTCGACAAGTTGTGAATTTTTTGGGCCGAAACATTTAGGGAGGTAGAACATTTAGGATGGATAAGAGAAGCAAAACAATTTATATAACTAATCTAGAACTTTCGTGACTAAGTTTCATTGCTTGTATCCGTAATACTTAGCTAAGGGTGAACTCTGCTTTATTCCTTTACTGCCAAACAATGTTTAGAGAAACTTTCCCCAAATATTTATGGTTTGTATGATACGAAACTAAAAAAAAGATGTCATGGTAAACACGATTCTTAGTATTTTTTCCCAGATAAAGAAAAATTCTACAAATGGTAGGCAAGATGTAGAATCAAGTATATTTATAGATTTTTTGATAGTAAATTTTATAAACCTTTCTCTGTTCATGACATTAATATGCACAATATTTTTTTTTATATATAACATAAAACATATAGCGTCCCTCTTGTTTTTTCTTAAACAAATTACAAAAACTTGTCGATTAACCTACGAATTTACTCAATAGATTCTTACATGGAACTAAGATTTTTGGAGCTTGTAGGTACAGATATACTATACAGTATACATAGCATTATTACGAAAAACAGTTTTTCAATGTAAAATAGTTTTATTTCAGGGTTGAAAAATTGATGAATATTTAATGAAAATTTGATATTATTTTATGAATGATTAATCAAAATATTATAAAAATTTCATGTCTTGTGAATATTTGATTAAATGTAATGAAAAATTATTGATGATCATTTTATGAACAGTTAATGAAAGATTGGTGTAAACGTTATGAAAACTTATGACTATTTTGTTAATATTTTATCAAACGGACAATACACAAGCAATTTACCCATTTTCGAACCCAATTTAAAGAACTTTAACCTAAAAAGCTAATTAATTTTGTATCACAGCTGTGTCAAATCTGGTAGCTGTTAACAAGGATTGTTACCGCTGAAGTAGAGATAACAATGACAGGCAATTGACAGGTGATACTACTGATAAGCCACTGGACGTGTTATTTGTTATCACTGACATAGAAAGTTGTCTTGGTATATTGCTGTCATTTGTGAGACTTTCGCAAATTGTTTTGTCTAAGTTACTTACTTAAATTACAGGTGTAAACCACAAGCATGTTAATACATGAAGAGCGTACTAGTTAACTGATTCAAACATGATTGACAGACTGGAGGGGTGTAAATGTGATGACTTATTACTGTATTTTTATTTATTGATACGACAAAAATGCTCTATAATAACAATAAGAAATCTTTTTTTAATATCAATGGATTTTTTTGTATGTGCTTGAACAAATTAAATTTTTCCCTTGTCTGTTCCTTAACTGTGTATAGGTTATACTGGATTGTTCTTACTATTCAGCAATAAAATAAGTGTTTTGAGTCTTATCTTTTTTTTATCATACTGAAGTGACTTATTAGTTTTCATTCCTTTCTAACACCTAATATATTATTCGAGACATTAAAGTTTAAACGAAATCAACAGATTCTTTCTTTGTTTATGTCTTATTGTTGATATTACTCAACCATCCAAGAAACCACGGGTGAAACCGGAGTACACATAGAATAGGTGATTAGCTCAGTAAAGCTTGGCAAAAAGACACTCAGCCCGTGCCAAACTAGTGGGTTTTATTGTGTTCTTAACATTTATAGTGACGGAGATATTTGTGTGTGTTTTCAACAACAGTCGCGTTTTATTTATACCGATGTTTAGAACTGTCTAAACCAAGAGGAAGGTGTCACTTATAGTTTATTTATACCCAGTAGTATTTGTTTTAAAACTCTTACATGTTTGAGTAAAACTTATTAAATTTATAAAGAAAAATACCCAGAATGAACCAATCAAACGTATTTGATCCTGTTGTATCAACCACATATCCACTTCTCTTTGATACTTAACCACGGATTGATAAACTCCCTTTTATACCTAGCATCAAAGTGATACACTCCCTTTTACGCTTAACAATATAATCATTTACTTACTTTTATACGTAACGCATTCTGATAAACTCCCCTTTATGTCTCAGCCCATACTGATAAACTTCAATTCATGTCTGGCCGCATACCGATAAACTCCCTTTTTATAATTAGAGTCATTCTGATAAACTCCCTTTTATGTCTGGCCTTATACCGATAAACCATTATGCCTGGCCCCATAGCGATAAACTCCCTTTTATGATTAGTGTCATACCGATGAACTCCCTTTTATGCTTAAAATCATGCTGATAAGCTTCCGTTTATGTTTAATGTCACATGTTGATAAACTCTAGTGTATGTTTAACCTCATGTTATAAAGTTCCTTTTATACATTACATCATACTGATAAACTTTCTTTTATTCTTAACCACATTGTACTGATAAACCCTCTTGTATACTTAACCCTATACTTATAAACTCCCTTTTATACTTAACCCCGGATTTATAAGATCCATTTAATACTTAACCTCATTTTACAAACGAATCAACCCTTGGGCTCTGGTAAGTGCAAATTGTTTAGCAGGTGTAAGGTAGAACATACCTATTTTTGACCAAAGAACAACTTTTTTCTATACGTTATTGTTAAAATTACTTTCAGAATAGTTTGTAAAGAATATACCAGTTGACTTTCATTCGCCTCTTTACAGCCAAATTCGAGTTGATTTTCAAGGGTGCGCGGTTATTCGCAAGTAATTGCTTGTGTCCATTTTAAAAACCCAACAGGTGGCAAAGCAGAAATTCAAGTCTAAAAGTGGCAGAGCCAAAACTGGAAATACAGAAGTAAGACCAGTTTCCGATGTCTCCGGTTTTGGAATTGCTTCTGCGATGGGGCTTTGGGCATCAAACTGTCGTACGTCTATAAATAAATCTTAAAATAAAATAAAAACTGTTTATTTAAGTAAAACGTTTTTGTGATTTAGCCCGAGCATTATATCCTATTTAGATATCTGTTCAAATTATAAGTCTTATAAAGTGTAATTAAATCATTCTTTTAGAATAAGGTATTTAAAACAAAATTCTTTGCCTACGTATGGGGATTTTATTCAAAAGAAAACTTTTCAAATTATGTTGGTATGGACACTATTTTTCTGTTTTCAAAGAAACCATAGGCATAAATACTAACTAGTGTTAATTATTTGTTCTATAGCATTTGATTTGAAAAAGAAATAATGAAATGTTTATGTTCAAATTCCTAAACATTATCTCTACTGTATATATTTTTAAGGTTATAACTACTGAGTATATTTCTGGTTTGAATCTAATATTTTGAGAAAGGGAAAAACTTTTTTGTTTTAGCTAATTAACAGAGTAAAAACCCCATTATTTACCAAATGTATACAGAACTCCTATCCAAGGCTGGAAGAGGTGACTATGATATTTAAAATTAAGTTAGCAATTTCCTTGTCTGTGTTGATGATCGAAAAGAAAAAAAATAATTATGTTTACAAGGAAGTGAGCACTATAAAATCATGTCATTAGCGTAATAAACAGTATATAAATTGAAATGTATACAAAATTTCTCCCTCTGACTGACTTAAAGCTTTCTTAAGGTAAATAAAAATGGGAAATGCCACATTGGGTTTAGTAGAATGGTTAAATCTGCACAAATTAGAAAACAAGGTATAGGTTTTTTCAATGATAAATACTGTGTTTCATAATTATTACTCCTTTAACTACTCTACTAGAAAGAAAACAGCTATAATTATTAGTAATCTTTAGAGTATCAATGCATAATATTGACTCATCAAACAATAATGTTTTTAACGGTGTCGCTTGACGATAACAACAATCAATACGTATGACACCACAGGGAAATATTTACACGCAAAGCCATGTATTGGTAGATAAACGTAGGCTAACGGATGAACATGGATTATTGTTTTCAGGATGTCAACAAGCATAAAAGTGCAACCAGCATTTTTTTAGTCTGGTCATGGTCTGTGTATTTTCATATCGACTGTTTCATCTAGTAAAAATTGTATGGTAAATAAGGTAATTTCAGTTATGTGGTAAACTTATAGAAATGTGTTGACGTTACGGTTTATTTATATTGGCTTGGTGTTATACATTTAGACAAAAGAAATTAGGCGTTTCGTGAATTTGGTATGATATGTAGAGTTAGATACCTACTATTACTTTGTAAACAATGAATTTTATATGATTTTGGATTGTTAAATGCCTAAGGCTTTACATAGGTAGGAAAATAATAAATGTTTCATAAATACTGTTCGGGTTTTTCGTATAAAATACACTTTTAATAGTGCGAAACAAATAATAACGAAACTTGTATATATCCGAGTACGAAAATGTATTACTCGTGGTGGTGGGCAAAAACTATCAAAGTGGACCTAAATAATCACTAAAAGGGGGCAAAATATTAATTAAAGTGGTTTTAAAAGCCTAAAGTTCACAGAGCCCAATCTAATTTTTAAAAATTCATTTTTAGTCATTCTATTTCTAATATTTACCAATTTATCCTCTCGTAACCTAACTTTTAACTCCTCTCCATCCTCTTTCTTTCATCTAGTTTCCTTTCTCATTTCTACAATCTCACTTCCTCCTTACACCCTTCACCTCCTTCCTCCTTATCTACTTCCTCCCAACCTACCTGGACCATAGCCATGACGGAGAGACCGAAGGCTAGTGAGATAAGGACGAGGTCTGCAGGAGTACTTTGGTCGCCGAGGTTCAAACAGCTCATGCAGCCGAAGAAGTTGAGGACGAAAGTTCCCACCAGCTCAGCGATTAACGCCTTGCCGAGGTTGTTCTTGTTGTCGTTCAGCTCTGAAAGCCCAACTCGGTCCTTGATCGTGGCCATCTTGTCTGGAAAAAGAACGATCGTTAAAAATATTGGGTTAAAAAAAAGAATTCATTGTAGTCTAGAAGATTGACTTTTAGATGATATCAAACTACACATTACGTTTTACTTAGTGGACATTTAATATATATTAGCTGTAGCCATTTTTATATGGTTTTTGACTAGTATAACTAGCCAACCACAGAATGTACTGCAGTAGAAAGTTGTGTTTTGTTTCATCAGTTGGTGTTTACTGTGATAAGTAACCGAAATGATGCTAGAGTTTGCAATATGCCCTTTTGGGTTTACTTTACTTTTGGGTTGAAATGTAGGTGTATCCTAAAAGGCAAACATGTTTCTTGAAAACCTTTTTTTCACAGCTCTAGTGTACATCGCAGGGAATATCTACGCATACTGTTAGAAATATATTTGCCTGTTTAGTTGTAGATGTGCAGAATTCCTTTATTAACTAATTGAGGCAAGAAAGCAAAAGAAAATGATTTTAAAATCTTAAAAAAAATTTCATAAACATCATGTGATGCCATGCTGGTACAAAATAAAAACGAAATATAAACAGAAAATCAAAAGAAATGGAAGAAGTTCCAATCACATGTTTTTGTGGGGTGAAAATAGAGAAGTTTGCACAATATTTGGTTGAGTTTTTAACCATGGGGCGAGTTCTAGTTCAACACAAATTAGCATAATAGAAATGTCTCTGGCTGAATTTAACTAGTCTACGTCCAGTCCATATTGATCTTAAAGATTGACATAGATTCAACATGGGAATGGATGTATACTTTTTTCGATAGTTTAAAAGTTGAAGTCAATGCTATTATGACATCGATTAGTTTGGATAGTTTTGTTCTACATTCAAAACTATCATCTCCGAAGAATGTTTAAGGTATAAATGCGATTTCAAACTACAAATTTTACCAATGTATCCTGATATCGTGTCTAGTATTGATCCAAAATATCCGTCGACACACATTTTTAGTGAAGCGGTGTATCCTTCACAAATAATGATCAATTTCACCTTTCAATGATGCTTGATGTCACTCTATCCTTCAAAGTAGCAGGAGGTCTAACATACTGGCTCATCGATAACTGGTGAAGAAGACTTTGAAACGGTTTGTAATCGGGACACCTTTCATCGTGTTAAAAACTAGTGTTGGTAAAATTGTTTTATCATATTGGCACTAAAATGTAGAGTGTACTTTATAGTTTGATTGTACAACTGAAAAAGAGTATAGGGCGATCTTTAGGGTAGACTGCAAGTCAATTCAAAAATATATTATTGATGGATAGGTAAAACGCAGTATATTCAATTTCATTTCTTAAATAGTTATTTCTGTAACTAGTGTGCATTTTCACTCGTGTTACACATTATATTTTTCCTACGTTTACTATAAATCGTATAAATAGTTAGTCTTTCAAACACTGTACAACACGTTTTTAGGTTAGGTTAAATCCAAACATTGAACGAAATGGGAAACGCTGCACCAGCTGATCGTAGTCGTGTATCTATAAGTGTTGTATATTTTCAAGCGTACACGGATTACCTGCTTAATAAAAGCACGCTGTTTTCTGTTGTTTGGTTGGAATACTAGTATGCGCCAAAGTAAAAACGGTGCGCCAAAGTAAAAACTGTGCTCCAAGTAAGGCTTTCTGTTCTATGATCTTTGCCAGGGAGCCAACTTTGTCGGGTGACTTTAGGAAAAATTAATTATATTGTCATTGAAACAACCAAAGTTAATTAATGCAAGCTCCTTCTAATCTTCTTGAAATTCATGAGCCAATTGTGAAGACTAAACAAATTTAGAGGTAGTTCATGTTAGTCATGTGTTGGAGTGATTGTAATTAGTATGTTGGGTGTGTTAGTATAGATGTGATTCATTTTTATAGTAAATTCTCTATTCCAACTTGAAAGGCCGGATAAATTATTACGCTTTCATTGAGTCTAAAATGAAGTTGAGTCATAAACAAAAATTCCTTAATAGTTTCTAGAGAGTCAACAATCGTAATGAACAGTTTCACTCAAGTCGTTAAAACATTAGTCAAACAAACTTTAAAAAGCATTTGAGAAGTAAAATCTTTAAAAATCATTTGAACAGAGAGAAATATCGTACGTTGGTGAACTTTTCATTTCTCTCGATTGGTATTATTATTAATTTCACATCTTCACTAAAGAGAGAGAGTACATGAATAATTTCAAACAAAGAATCAGCCAATCAAACGTAGCGAAAGAAAGCGTAACGGTAAGTGTTCTTGGTCCATGACACTGTGGTGTTATGGTGTTTGTACCCCATAACCCGTCACCATAAACAGCTGATCAAGAGCCTCTGGCAGCTACGACTCAGAAACATCCGCTAATTACGCCCGTTGTTTCTCAAACTTTCTCCTTTCTCTCAGCAATTTTTATCACTCAATCTAGTCCCGCCATTGACAAGGTTAAAGCCAGCCTTTCTCTAGTCCAAGTTTGGCATAACTGGGGAATAATGGATGTAATGAGACATAATGGGTGGCTGAATACGAAGTTAAGGAGTTTTGCAGAGAACTTACGATATATTATCGGGTGAATATCAGTTCGATATTCATACCGTATCGGATATAGTTTTCATTCGACATAACTATCGATTGTACGTTTTTTAAGAATACTTTTTTACACTGAGCGGTGGTTAGGCTAGGTTAGTTCTGTTTGGCTTAGTTAACTTATAACAAGGAACCATTTATAACTCAATTGTAACTGTTCTAACTTAGTAAGCTTGGAAAACATTAATCAAAAATTAATGTATGCATTTATGATTGTTTCTAATTCATAAATTCACACTATTTCCATTAAACTAACTTTAACTTATATTTAGTCGTCCTTAGTTATGGCTGTTAAATTCACAAACACTCTTTCTGAAACCACTGGTATCTAAATTTACGTGTTATATTACACAAACAATTTTCAAAAAATTATCGATGTCTTTATGCAATTAAATTTAGATCAAATTCATATGTCTAAACTCTATTCCATTTATCTAGCTTTAGATAATTATGTTCTTCCCTTGTAGTAATTATTTATTAACAGAATCAGCATAGTTCTTTTTCAGCCCTCTTAATAAACTATTTTAAATTTTCAAATTTTAAGTCTTTGATAAATAACCATTTTCATCTCACACATATCAATCCCATCGAATAAACAACCAAAGCGTATAAAATTACTTCCCCAAAACAATACGGTACCCCAACTCGGAATATGACATTCAAATGACAGAGGCTGTATTTGGGGCACGCAACGAACCTCCAACACGCAAACCAATACTGTATTTTCCAGCCTATCCTCCAACACGACATCGTATTGTATTGGATAATCTGGCGAATAATTCAACTAAATAATAAGGAAAGTGAAACAGCTGATCGATAGAGTTCAATGACACTCCAACAATCAGCTGGTTTACTTTGGTTAATATTACAAAGTTGAATTGGATGTGTTATGAATAAGTTATGTGATTAAGGTAATTTGTTCTATGTTTTTTGATGAATTTTCTAGTGTCATACCCATATACAGTAGAACCTCCATTATATATACGGGGATTATATTTAGACTTGTGATCAAGGTTGGTTTAAATATGATTAGGGGTGATTTTAAATCTAGGGTTTTTAAAATGGTATTTGTTATCAAGAGGGTCTTGTTATCAAGGTTCTACTATATTATTTTAGAGATTTGGGAAAAAGGTCACTCATTAATGGTTCGTTGTTATTTTATTTACAATATATATTATTTTGACCATCAACTATTTTATTCGTGTCCTATTTCATGACCTTTGTGTGTTTTTCTTGTAGCTAAAATTGTTTGAAAGAGATTTCATATATAAAATATGAAATATATAACATACATTAGCGAATCATGTGATTGTTTAAGAGACGTATAGACAGTTAGTTCTCCATCCCCTATTATCTTCTGTTTTCCTTAGTTCTACATCCCCTATAAACTCCATACCTTATTATTGGATTGTTTCTGTTTTCCTTAGTTCTTCATTATCTATAAACTGTTGTTTTCCTTAGTTCTCCATACCCTATTATTGGATTGTTTCTGTTTTCCTTAGTTCTTCATTATCTATAAACTGTTGTTTTCCTTAGTTCTCCATACCATATTATTGGACTGTTTCTGTTTTACTTTGTTCTTCATTCCCTATAAACTTCTATCTTATATTTGCCTTAGTTCTCCATACCCTAATATTGGATTGTTTCTCTTTTCCTTAGTTCTTCATTCCCTATAAACTCTATCTTATATTTTCCTTAGTTCTCCATACCCTATTATTGGTATGTTTCTGTTTTCCGCAAAGTGTTTTTTCTTCAGATTTTACTTAAGTAAACAAACAAACGCCATTCTTTTGCAACATTCCCCTATTCTTTCGTGTGTCATTTCATTTAGGTAAACACAGCGGGCTTTGTTGACATATTCTAGGCCGGAGTCCGAAGCCACGCTAGGCCAACCGTAACCTTGGCCTGAGGCCAGGACCCCAGTGGAGTTTATTAATGTGCTCTATTCTGGCGAGAGTTAAATGCCTTGGAGTTGGTGTCATCTTTCGTGAAAGAGGAACACACTTGTATTTTTAAGAGTATAACTTTGTTACGATTTAGTATTTCGGGTTTCTTTGATAATGATAAGTTTTGATATCTTAGAGTTCTTTAAGTTTTTAGTTTGTGTATTTTATTTATTATTGATGAGAATGTTTACGGTTACTTTGGTATTATACTGACCACACTGGTACATCGACTTCCAAATTTAAATTTGTTTAAATAACATAATATTCCTAACCTAACCTATATCTAAAACATAGTCCACCCTTAGGTTAGGTTAGGTTTGATTTGGTTAGGCTATAATTAATTATTAGACGTGGTCCGTATAGTATCAAAGTACCGGTTTACGCCTAGTGAGCCTAGGTTTGGGAATAGTTTTGAATATTCTGAAATAATATTATATTCATGTATAGGCTTGTGTTACAGCTGATTTACGTTTTGGCAAACCTCAGCTGTT